AACAGGTTGTCAAGGGTCACAGCTCCACATGGCGGAGCGCCAGGAACCGAGAGGAGGAGGGGGCGACTGGGCGCAGCCTGGGGGCGCAGGCACCAGAGGGGGCGCTTGGTTTTCCTCCGGTGAGATTCGTCCGCAGGCTTGAGGTTGGCGGGGAGCACCCGCAGCCACCGCACCCCTCAGGTAACCCTGTGCGCTCTTGTGGGCTTGGAGACTGTTAGGAAGGATGGATGTGATTGTCTTGATCGGGGCACGCACGACACACTTTGAATCTGCACAAGTGTATTTGTCACTGGTTCTGTAATCAAGTTGGGGAAGAAAGAAAAAGGAAAAGAAAAAACTGTACCGGCCCTCACTCCCAGAGAGACAATCTCCTTGAAAGAAGAAAAGGAAAACCCAGCACGAGAGGGTGATAACCCCATAAAGTATTCCTATCGCTCTTTTCTTTATTTGCTTACTGGCGGATCACCGGCTCGGCTTGGGACTCTAAACCCCCCCACCCAAAGGGTTGTTCCTGGTACCCGTGGTCCTCGCAGTACCTCCGAGAGCGGACTTAGCCTCAGTGGCCACTCTGGCCCACCAGCCCCGCGTCCCTCAGCCCCTCGGAGCTCTTGCCTCGCCCCCTGGCAAGACATGGCCTGCCTGGCCCTCGTGCAGGGTCCCCCACTTCCTCTCACCCACACGACGCCCAGATTGCCTTGCCGAGAGCCCACCCTCCCCCCGAGGTCTGGAGATGAAGGCGGGGGTGCCCCGGGGGCGCCAGGCACACAGTGCCAAGGGTGCTAGTGCTTGTCTTTACAAACAACTGGTCTGTTTACTGTCACCCCCTCCTAATTATTCATGAGTAGAGCCCCCCAAAAGAGTACCCATGCCGGGACTGTGACTTTCCTTCAGAAATAATCATATTGGCTTGTGTTGCAGCTGAAATCATGTTGTCAATTATTAATTGCTTTGATGACAGTTCTATGGCATTCGGAAGACTCCTACTCAAACACCATCCACATCCGCCACCATCCACATCTTTGCAGGGACTATTTCGGGATTTTTCTCTGATAAAACATCCCACACCTTCTCACCTGTGAGGGTGGATGAGTAGAATCGGCTGTGAGGGAACACAGCATGTAAATGCTTTTGTGTCAGGGCTTCAGGAGGGGCAGTACGAATCCACATGCCTGCATTCCAAATCCCTCCCTTTAGGTTCACCCCAAAAGCACCTTTGTACAGCTCTGATTGCAGATACCCCTGCAAGAGGCCAGACAAGGAGTCCACACCCCTCCAACCCCTGAGTGGGTGTATGTCCTGCTCTCTGCGGCTCTGGGGGGGGGTCACCCCTTCTCCGCAGGTCCCTGTCACCTCCTCAAGACCGAGCAATGCAACCTCCAGTTACCAGAATAATCTTAACGTTTTATGATTTGCTCTTCATTCCCTCCCCAGCCAGGATATCCGGTGTCTGTCCACTGTACGCCATCTGTACGTGAACACCTACTCCCTGCCACAGCTAGGGATCATGCCCCTTGTCCTCCTGGTCTCTCACTCAGCCCTGCCCACACCCACCAAGGGTCAGACCCTGCGATATTAGCTCCTTCCTAGCCAGACCATCAGCTGGACAGCGGACAGCGCCCCCTCACCAGTGCCGGCAAGGCCCTTCCTCCCCCGAGCACCAGCCATGCTCCACACAGCTGCATTAAAACTAAGTAGGCCTTGTCTCTCATCACTTGCGATCCTCTAGCCTTGTGTACCTTCTCCTTTTCCACACCTGACCCCTTTAGGGAAAATGGGGTTTTCACCATTCTCTACCTATGCCCTTGGCTGGCTAACCTGTGCCCCCACCCCCCATGGTTCCTACCACTGCAAATACTTTTCACACAGCCCTCCCCCACACCCTGCCCCACCGCGGGAGTCTCCCACTCTTCAAGACCCACTGTGGGTTCAGCTTTCCAGGTAAGTCTTTCTGGCTCCCTGCAGCTGGACAGGGCCTGTCCCCAGGGCATCTGCAGGCCCTGGGCCCTAAGCAGGTGGTCACCTCCTGTCTTAGGTGCTCACTAAGTGGACCATAGCCATCTGGGCACCTCTGCTGCCCTGGGAAGGCCTGGCTTGGGGCTCGTGTGGCCAGCACACCACTGACCACAGTGTTTCTGATTGTGCTTCAGAGAAGGGGGAGAAAGATAGCAGAAAGGGGGCTCCTGGCCCTGAGGGGCGGCTCTGCGCAGGCGTGAGAATGCAGGTCCTAGAGCGCGACTGGACGCTCTTGGCAGTTAGGGCCAGCATCTCAGCAGTGAATGGAGATCACTAGGGGAGCAGGACGGGCTCCACAAAACAGCTTCTCCCACGCGTGGGATCCTGCATGGGGACCAAGCCTGGGGCCTGGGGGATGTCTGCAGGGCCTGGGATGCTGCGAGCAGACACAAGCCCTGGGCCAGAGAATTCTAGGAGAAGCTGCAAGCTGGTGATGAAGTAGCTGCCACCTCACTGCTCCGCACACGGAGCCTGGAGGACCCCTTCAGCCCCACTTGGGCTGCAGTTTGGTGCGTCTCATAGGTGAGACCAATGGCAGCCAGTGTGACTTCGCAGAGGGCGTACAGACACAGGGACAACCAGACATCGGAGATGCGCAAAAGACACAGGCACTTGGGCCCCTACTTCCAGTGAGAGGAGACATGTGGAAAACAGGTTCTTAAGATACAGAGTTTGTTAGAAGGTGATAAGCCCTCTGGGTAGGCAAACCAGGGCGTGGAGATGAGGGCGAGCATTTGGGGATGTGGTCAGCCTTGTCGGATGGTGACACTGAGCAAAGTCTTGGGAGAGGGGAAGCCCCATCCGAGCCGGGGAGGCCTGTTCCAGGCCCTGGGGACGGCCGTACCCACCTGAGCCAGCCTAGGCACGAACCCCACCATGGCTGGGGCAGCATGGCTATGAGCTCAGCCCTCTCTTGTCCTGGCAGGCCTGCTGACCGCTGGGCTTTAGGTCAGAGTCTCAGCACGAATTGGCGTCACTGGCTGCTGAGCGGAGCTTCAACTGTGAAAGGGCAAACACCAGAGCAGGGACACCTGCTAGGAGTGACAACAGCTCCCGAGTGACCATGACCAGGCTTGGCCAGGGTGGCAGGTAGCAAAAGTGGCCGGGACTGGAAAAGTGTCAGGGTGGTAGAAGTGGGTATGAAGGGGGAGAAGGAGCCTGGGATGACGCCAAAGCTTTTTGCACAAGTGACAACAAAAGTAGGGTGCCTTGCTCGCTGGAGCTGGATGTAGTGGGGAGGGCAGAGCAGCCTCCAGGTTGGTTTTGGGTCTGTGATGTCCATGAGACCTTGAGTGGGATCTGGAGCCTGAAACTGGTCCCCGGGGATGGGAATCTGGGGGTCATGAAGAGACAAGATGGGGCCTGAAGCTGTGAGGCTGGAGGAAGCCCACAAGAGGACTAGCATAGGCGTCTAGGGGCAGGGTAGAGGAACAGGACTCAGGGCCTCAGCAGCAGAGAGTCTAAAGAGGAGGTGAGGCAGATGAGGTGGGCCTGGGAGCGGCACTGGCAGGGCCTGGAGGGCGAGAACCAGGAGGAATTCTGGGTGAGCAGGTGGCTGTCAACAGCGACAGTGACAATAGTGATGGGATGAGAAAGCCTCAGCAGAGAAGGCTGGAGAAGGGAGAAGAGGAATTGCAGACAGTGAGGATACACACCTCTTCTTGCTGTGGAAAGGTTGTACTTCTAAAAACAGCCAATATTTCGGCCCTTCTATTAGCCCAAGAGGGTGCTGCGTCCACAGCAGTCTGAGTACGTCAGATTTCACTTGCAAAATCTCCCTTTCAAATGACAAAACGTTTTTGTGAAACCGATGTCAGCAGCTTAAGTCTGACAGTCTCTTTGTTAACTGAAGAACAATCACTGTCTTCCGTGAATTTGCAGCTGAAGGTATTTTAAGTTTTATCATCTAATTTCTGTCTTGGAACTTCACACACACACACACACACACACACTCGAGAATGATGACATCATGGTTCTCAGGAGACATCCACTCATTTCAGATATTTCAGTATTGATTTATAGTGTGGCCTTGTTTTGTGCCGTAGCTCCTGCTCACCCACTTTACATTTTCCAACGGCGTTCCTCCTTCCATGGGCATTTTACTGTCGTTCTATTTGGAGACATGGGTTCATGTTTATGAGAACATTAGGCTTGCGGTGGGAAGGAGGGCAGGGAAAGCCGTCTACGTGCAGGCTGACCCAGGGCATCTGCCCTGGACAGGGTCAAGTTTTTGCCCAGAATCTCAGGATGCTGGGACGTGGCGATGACAGGCGTTCTGTTATGCCCTTAGAGCCCGGTGTCCTCCCCACCTGGGGATGAAACCGATTTCCCAGAAGCCTCTTTGCCCCAGACCCAAAACTTCAAAGACACCAGGCTATGGGGCTGATACTTAGTCTCATGTTAGTTCTGAATTTTATGCTTAATTTTCTCCTTTTGGTTTTATGTATTTTGACATAGCCAAGTGTATGTGGGATTTCCCCATAGTCCTTTAAATGCTATAAAACTTTAATATAGGGAGATAAAAACAATAACAAGCCTCCAAGCCCTCACAGTCAGTCTGAGTTAGATGCTCACCAGTTTAGATTTCGACTTTCAAGAACTCACTCTGCTTTCAAAGCCCTCCTGACCTTCCTACCTGTCCTGGCCCCACCCAAGTGGAAATCTGTTCTACCCATAACCTAGGTGAGCAACACCCATTGATTGCACAAGATGGCACCTTTACAATTCCTAAATTATCATCATAATGGCCTGGAGGGTTCAGGAGCCAATGCAATTTAATGTGGTTCAGAATAAAGCCAAGATGGATGCCAAATTTTCGGCAGGCAACCCTGAAATGTCTTTTGGAAAAAATGAAATAATGCTGCTGGAAGTCTGCTGAATGAGTCTGTTTTCAGCATAATTGCCATCTCTCAGCTTCCTAATACCCTTAAAACCTCTGAGAGTCTCTAATGTACAAAGTTCAACAGAAATACCTTCAAAGCAGATTAGTTCTAATTATGTTTAATATTTGTTTGCTGCTTTATTGAACAAACTACATTTGCTTGAAAAAAGAAAGTCACTTAACTGCATGTCAGTCACCCAAATTTTAAGTGTACAAATGAAATGGAAAACATTTATTACACAAATTTAATTACAATTCTAAGAAATAAACATGCAAATTAGATAGAGTTCAATTTGCAGATGCTAATCCCCAGCCTGGATCTTGCTCCTTTCCTGTCTGGTTTTCTGCCTGGGCCTCTCCTGGATTCCCACGGAGCCAGGCAGGGAGAGGTTGGATTTTCGCTGGGAGGATCACTGTTTTAAAGAAGCGTTATATTTAGAGCATCTGGCACTGTAGCAGTAAACAAACATTACAGTCTTGGAACACTTGCGCAGGTGCCTTCCCTGGCTTTATTAGGGCGCTGTCTTGGGGCGCGCCTCTGGCACCTGCAGTGGCACCTCACCCCCAGCGCCCCGACAGAAGTTATGAATTAATGTCTCAAAAAACAAACTCCTATTGAGCCCAAGACAGGGGGAATCGACCGTTTGTGATTCCGGGGATTAAATTACATTCTCTGGACCGAAGACAACCTCCTTTGTTACTTTTTATTTCCTGGAGGTTTTCCCCGGAGGCCCCCACCCAGAAAGAGCCGCCAGTTCAAGTTGCAGGAGGACACGGCTTTTCCTCCGCGGCTCCGGAGGGCGGCGGGCCCGGGGCGCGGAGCTGCCGGCCTGCACAGACATCTGTTTCTCATCTCCGTTTGCTGTGGCGAAGAAGAAAGTCTTTTGCAAAGGGTGGGAAAGGCGCGGCTTTTTTTTTTTTTTTTTTGTAAATCACACGCACACAACAACAACAAAACTCAACCGAATGAAAAAGGGGGGGACGCCCCCGAAGGTGGCAGCGTGATGCCCGCGTCTGCGGAGGCCTGGCCGGGGCCGGGGCCGGGGCCGGGCGGGCGCGGGGCGCGTGGGGCCGCGGAGCGCTGGAGCCGGGCGCGCGGCCCCGGGCACCGGGCGGGGAGGGGAGGGGAGCGGCGGGAGGAGGCGGCGGGCGGGGAGGGGGAGGAGGGAAGGGGCGGGGGCGGGCTGGGGTGGGGGCGAGGCGCGGCGCCCCGTGTGCTCCGGAGGCGCGGCGGCGGCGGGCGCGGAGGGCGGAGGGAGCGCGGGCGCCTGTCATGTGCGCGCTGGCGCCCTGGGGGCATCCTGCAGCCCCGCGCCTCGGAAATCCGCGGGGAAATGGCAAACAGGATTGACGGGTTTCGCGCGCCGCTCGCTAGACAGAGCCGCTCATTACCATAACCGTCTGCGGCGACGGCGGCGCCCCAGTCGCGGCGGCGGGACCTGCCGGGACCCTCGCCCGCCGCGCGCCAGCGGCCACCGCCACCGGGCCGGGCCGGACCGAGCGCGCCAGCCGCCGCCTCCCGGGACCCCGCGGTAAGAGCCGTGCCGGGCGCGCGCGGGCGAGGGCCGCTGCCCGGGGCGCGGGCGCCCGGCCTGGCACCCACGCGGCCGGCCGCGCGCCTCTCGGCAGGAGGGCGGCACTGGGTCCCGCGGGGCGCGCCCGGCCGGAGGGGGCCGCGGGCGGCGGGGCGCGGAGGCCACGGGCTTTCCGGGGCGGCCGCCCGGGCGCCGGGGACGCCGCGCGGGGGAGACCTCGGGTCCTTGTGGGCCCGGGCCGGGGCCGCGGGGGGTGCCCCGAGGGGGCGCGCGGCCAGGCGGGTGGGGAGGAGGGCGGCGGGAGGGGGCGGCCCGGGGCGCGCGGCTGCGAGAAAAAGGAATCGCTGCGGAGCTGACACCTCCCGTCCCCGCCGCCTCCGCCCCCGCGCCCCCCTCCCGGCAGCCGAGCCGCGCGGCGGGCGGCGGCGCCTCTGTCCTCAGCTCACCTCCCGCGGCTGGGCGGCCGGCGCGGGTCCACACCTCCGCCCCCCTGCGCTCCGCCCTCCCGCCCCCTCGCCGCCAACTTTCCCGAGCGCCCGGGGGCGGGCGGCGCGGGGGGCCGGGGCGCAAGCGGCCGGGGCAAGCGGTCCCCGCGCGGGGCGCTCGGGCCGCCGGGCTCCGCGCGGGCTGGGCGGGCTGGGCGGGCTGGGCGGGCGAGGGCGGGCGGCCGGGCCCGCGGGTGCGGCGGGAGCGCGGGGCCGGGCCAGCCTTGCGGAGCCCTGCCAGCGCCGTGAGTCATTCCCTTGGAATCCTACCTTTGCTGTTTATTTCCCTTAGAAGGAAACTTGGTTTTAAAAAAAGAAGAAGAAAAGAGAGAATAATAATAGCTCTTAGTCCTCGGAAGCGGCACCGGGCGCCAGCACCCGGGAAGACAACTTGCCTTTGTTCCCAGACACTTGGGGTGTTGTTTACTTTCCCTTGCGGCTGGGGGCTGCAGGGCTAGGCTCGCCTACCCCAAGGCTGCTGGAGGACGCTGCACCACCAGCCCGGGGTTTGGCCCAGGCTGCTGCCTGCCTGCTGGCGTGGGGGCTCGACACCTACGCATGCTTGGGTCTGGGAGCGGGAGACTTGGCACCTGGTCCTGACACCCCTGGGTGCCCGAGACCCCAAGCCCAGAACCCATTTGCAGCCCCAGAAGCTGGCCTAAAGCCTCCAGGAGCTGCGGCTGAGCAATGGGCTTCCCAGGGCTGCTGGGATGCTGCAGGGTGACATCTCTTTAGGTGGGTGAGGATGTTATGGGCCCGTCCACACCCCACCTCCCAAGCTAGACCAGTATAGAGCTCTTGTTTGGGGTCAAGGGGGAGGCCAGGGGCTTTCCTGCACCTAGCAAGACATTGCAGGCCGGAGCCTCAACAGTGCATGGCAGGTAACCCCCCGATGGCACCGCTTCTCAGCGGGGTGTTCAGGCCCCTTCAAGCTGCTGCAGTGCTCTCCATCACATGTCCTCTGGTCTCCAGAGACAGACCGGGAGGGTGGCAGAGAATGGCCAAGAGCCCTGGTTAAATCAAGGCACCCCCACCTCTGTAGCACCCACTCCTTAGAGCATTACAGTACCTGCCAGGAAGCAAACCCACGTCACCTGCAAGCCATCCGCTGCTGCTCGCTTATCTGCAGATGGCTTGCCACTTGAGCCTCTGCCTTCTGGACTCTGGAGCTGTCACACCACTTGAGCCTCCGCCCTCAGGGTGCTGGAGCTGTCACCCCACCACATTGCTTGGCTGCCCAAACAGCTGTACAGGATGCGGGGGGTAAAAGTTGGGTCTTTTTACCTTTCAACTCCGTGTGCGGACACAACACACTTTTGAGTCCACTTACCTCTGATGCTCACTAACCAGTTTGGCCATCACTGTCCTCTTCGTGGCTGCTGTGTTATAGCTGTCATGTTCACGGGAGCAGCCCCGCAACGCAGATCTCACCAGACCCAGAATGATGACACTCAGATCTGTGCATGTGGCCTGGACACAGGTGCACCCATCTGGGTATGTGACACTTGCTTCTTCAGGGCAAATTCTAAATAGACCCGAAAGATGCAATTGCAGAACCTACTGCAGGCCCCCAAATAATCCCCACACATTCATAGTTTATTCACATGCACATGAATTACCTCCAGCACTCAGCTGTCCAGTTGAGGATTTTGTGTTCAAGTTTCCAATTCAAAAAAGAAAAATTTACGGAAACGAGATATCAGCAAGAAAAGAAACAGCCAAGATAAAAACTATTAGGCGATGTTTCAAGTTCAAATGTGTAAGGATAGAGTTTCAGGAGCTGGCAATACTAACAAATAGGAGCACTGAGGCCTTTACCAAGGAAGAAAACTGCAGCAGTAAGTCACTACAATATAAACAAACTCTTGCTAACGGAAAGCAGCGCCGGCGCCCAGAATGTCCGAGAAAACAGGTCTTTGCAGTGAGTAAAGCTGCAAACACTTTCCCCTCTTGAAGGACATAGGCTTGTCAGCCTGCTCTGGTTTATACATCCTGAAAGTTCTGCACAGGCCAAAACAAAACAAAAAAGACAAAAAAAAAAAAAAAAGGCCTGGATCTTATTTCCCAGAATCCAGTGCAAATGTGTGTGCAGATTTCTGACCGGAGGGCACTGCCGTGGCCTCTCACAGCCTCAGCCTGTGTGTGTGAGCTGTGCCTCACACACCTCAGCCTTCCCGCCTGCTGGCCTGATGGTCTCTCTGGCTGGGCTAAGCGGGGCCATTCCAGGAGTCTCCTGGACCTGCCTCACGGGGTGCTGCCTGAGGGGTAACAGGAGGCAGGGCTGGGCTGTTCCATCGATGGTTGGAGCCTCGACTTCTTGGTTGATGACCCAAACAGTGAAATAAATGGCATGCCCTTGCTTTTCTTTTTGGAGAATTCCTGAAACCACTTTTTCTTCCTCTTTTCATAAGGTTTTCCAGTAAGTTTTTGCTGCTGTCTCCTTGGAGGGCGTTTGAAAAGATAAAGGGAGGTAGTTTGACAGCTGGCCCCTCATTCCAGCCACTGCCCTGGTACCTCCTCTGCCTGTCCGAGGGAGCCGCTTCCCCCCTGCCATCTGGGGCAGAGGTGGGGTCCCCATGAGGACCTGGTGCAGGCTGGCATCACTGCTTCCAGGAGCTGCTATCAGCCAGCAGGACACTGTCCACTCCGGGAACCTGGCAAGTCCCTGTCCCTGGCAGCAGGAGGTCCTTGCTCCAGCCCCGGGGTAAGGACTGTCTCCCACTGGATGACAACACCCGCCCTTCCTGCAGTGCCCATGTGCGCTAAGCAGAGAACAGGCCCTGGGCCTGTTTGAAAGACAGTCTTCTCGGAGAGCAGGCTGACACCGCTATTGTGCAGATCTTTACAGGACAGTGGGAGGCGAGGTGCCCTCTAGGAGTGCTCCGCTAATGCTCCGCTAGTGCTCCGCTAATGAGACTCTCTGTACTCATTTCCCTGCCCCGCAGGTCCCCGCCCCTGCAGGCCTTCTTCACCGTGGGACCCTCCTCTCCCTTGAACTTGTTCTTCACCCTACCTGGGCGAAGACTAGGTGAAGACACTGGGCTGTGGGGATGGCCCGCACCGCGCCTGTGTTCTGGAGAATCCCAGTGGGGGCCCTTGCTCTGCAGGCCTGGGGCGGGCACCCCCCACATCCCAGTTCCGCAGGCCTGGGGTGGGGTACCCCCATACACCCCATGCTCCACAGGCCTGGGGCAGGGAAACCCCACACCCCGTGTTCTGCAGGCCTGAGGTGGGCACCCCCCATACCCTGTGTTCCACAGGCCTGGAGCAGGCACCCCCCCCCCCAAAACCCCATGTTCCACAGGCCTGGGGCGGGCGGGCCAGACACACGGGCAGAGCTGTGCCGCTTTTGGAAAGTTACTCCTGTCTGGGCCTTGCCTGCTGAGCTGCCGCCTCACTGGCCCCACAGCCCAGCCCTGTTTAGTATTCCACTGCTCCCTGATGCTCTCCTTGGCTGCTGCGGGGCTGTGGCTCATGGCTGGAAACTGGAGCCAATTTTCTGTCTTCGTCTCGCAGTGTTTTGACTGGAGGCAGATCCAGTTCAGGCCAATCAGGGCTGGTGGAAACAACTACCGAGTGTGTCTCGGCTGTTTGGTGTTGGGAGAAGAAAGTGTTGGAGCACTAGGGTGGTGTGGGGCTGGTCCCTCGAAAGTGCACAGTGGGGGGCAGAACCAGGACGCCAGGGCACACCCCACGCCCATGAGGGCATGTGGACCCTGCCCTTGTGATTGATTAGTGGGTCTCGTCAAAGGAGACTCTGGGGGGATTGACTAGAAAATTGATTTTCTTTCTCAATAGAGGGGAGCCAGGCTGCAGGCCTGGCCCTAGGCAGCACCTTCTCACGAAGGTCGGGAAGGGGCTGTGTTCCGAGGCAGGACAGCTGGGCTGAGGGAGTCTGAGAACAATACTTGGGATCCGCCTGTGAAATGCAGATTGCTGAACACAGGCCTCACCAATAGCTTCCAGAGTTTGCCGAGGTTTCTTTGAAAAAATAACCACACGTTTCAGGAGGCAGGGGAGGACTGAGGAGTAAAGTCCTGGCTGGCTCTTGCTGAGGGCCGTCTCTTTCTTTCAGATCTGAGGCCGTCAGAGATGACTCTGGTGCTGTCCATGAATGGATTCTGTGAGCCCATTGTCTCGGAAGGAGCTGCTGAAATTGCCGGGTACCAGACACTATGGGAGGCCGACAGTTACGGGGGCCCTAGCGCCCCAGGGCCAGCTCATGCCCCTCTGCAGGGAGATCAGGGAGCCGGGCCCCCCCTGGCAGGTACAGCCCTGGCCTCCCCCACTACTCTCTGCAGCCATCTGGGTGGGTAGGGTGGTGTCCCAGGCTCTGGGGACTCTCCAGGCTGCCTGGGAACTTCTCCAGATGGGCCTGGAGGAAGAGGCATCCGGCATGCATCCATCAGGGCACTGAATCCGATTTCAACCCCAAGTTTGGGCTATGGTGCTGGGTGGTCTCTCCAGGAGCACAGGCCAATGGGCTTGACAATGAAACCTTATCCCCAACGCACAAGGATGCCACACTCAGGCCAGTAGCTGACTGTCTTCTTTTCATTAAGCCACAAGAGAATAGAAATCCATTCTTCCTGATTCTTTATTTTTCGCTAAGGTGAGGGCCTCTGCACTCTGTGGGGTTAGCTATGGATGGAACCCTAAAAGGCACTCGTTGAGGTGGTTTTGCTCAAGATTACAAAAACTAGCCCTGATTTTTAATCATGGTTGACACAGTTTGGGGGAACAAAAAGAACTGTGGTTATCTGTCATTTAAGGTTTAAATTTTGAAAAAGTAAATAGGACGTGATGTAGTTAGTGTTCTTGGGGGTTTCATGAAACCTATTGAATAAATACTGATATTATTTCCAAGCTGGTCCACTCCCCCTTTGTGAGAGTTGCTGTTTGCTTGTGCATAAAATTCAGGTTCTGAGTATTTAGTAAAAGCTGAAATAGGTCAATTTTCCTTTGTAGTGGTCTAGAAATCTCTGGTTGGGCGGCAGCATTCTGTATGATAGCAACTCTGAAGACAAATGTTTATTTTTCATCGCCACATGTACAGACAACTATGTAGCCAAGTTACCCTCTAGAAGGAAAGGAAAGTATTTTGTTTGGAGACCCTTTAGCAAACCATGTGTCATTTGTCCTATTGATTTATTGCCACAGGATCACATTACAGGGGAATTTCAAATCCTATCACAACATCCAAGATCACATACTTTAAGAGGAAGTTTGTGGAAGAAGAGGATTTTCACCCACCACTCAGCAGCTGTAGCCATAAAGTATGTTTTTTTTTTTAATAGTCATCATTTTTACTAAGTGTTTCAGATACCACTAAGCGTCAACTGAATCATTTCAAGAAATTAAATCGTCCTCCCAGCAGTGAGAAGTAGCCAGCTCTCCACAGATTCCTGTGAATCACTGTCACTTCTTTGGGTCTGGGTTATTTTTCAGCAGTATTTCAAAAAAGAGCCTCGCCAGAGCTCTCTGCCCAGAAGTCATGAGCATGTATCACTAGAGCAGGTCATTTTCGCCAGTGAGTTTGTGTCTCTCAAGTAGCTCCAAGGGTTCTACCCCTTGGAGGGGGTGGGCTACACTTGTTCCTGCCCGTGCCCCCTCTCTGCCCCCGCTCTGGGGCCTGTGCCACTTCTGTGCCCACGCCTCACTCTGGGCTTCTCCTGACTGCCTGAGGGTGGGTCAGGGAGCTCCGATTTCCCTATAATGTGCATCAAAGTTGCACATTTATGCCATCTGGCCAGCATGTTACAACTTACAAGGCATTCTTCCTCCCAAGAAAAGACCAAAACTTCTGTCTGCGGGTGGCACCTGGCTTTGTCACCACAGTGACACGGGTGGGGAGCAGCCCCTCACTCCCTGGCTGTGCAGCCTCAGAAGCAGCCCCTTGGGCTCCCACTGGATTCACTTCCCAGGGGCTGAGCCTGTCAGGCTAGGACAGCCGCATGTCTGAACCCAGAGGGTGGCCTCTAAAGCCAGGCCCCTGCGGGCCGAGGCCAGGGTCCAGCCTGAGTCTCGGCATCTTAGAGACATTTCTGGACATGCGAGTCTTGTGCATGTGTGTAGCTGCAGGGTAGCACAGGCTGAAGGTGTACTCACCAGCATTAGATCCAGCGGTGAGCGGACCCGCACCCCCCCAAGGCCCTGCACCCCCTCACCACACCATAAAAGAGCCAGGCCTGTACCTGCAGGAGCCCACGAGGGGCTGGGTCCCGGGCTTTCCAGCCCAAGAGTCAGGAAGGGGGCGCCCGAGGTGTCCCTGTGGACAGGACAGAGCCTCCATGAGCCAGGAAGGGCCCAGACAGAGCCGGCTGTGGGATGTGTCCCGCCTCCTAACCTTCCTAACTGTTTCTGACTTCTAGACCATCTCGGTTTTCGAGGAACGCGCACACATCCTCTACATGTCCCTGGAAAAGCTCAAGTTCATCGACGACCCCGAAGTGTACCTCCGCAGGTCCGTGCTCATCAACAACCTGATGAAGCGGATCCACGGGGAGATCATCACGCAAAACAACTGGTGCCTGCCCGCCTGCGCTTTCCACGGGGCGGCGGCCCAGGAGTGGTTCGTGGTGCAGGACTGCCCCTACCGTAAGCGGCCGCGGCTGGCCAAGGAGTGCGAGAAGCCGCACGCCTGCTGCTTGTACCAGGAGTGCGGCGGCCACTGCCTGAGCACGCCCCTGTCGGTCGGCGCGGCTGTCGGAAGTGCCTCCCCGGCCGCCGCCCCTCCCCCGCAGGGGCTGCCCGGCTACCCCGCCCCGGCGGACTTCGACGCCGCCAGCGCCCCTGTGTACAAGGGGGACGGCCAGCTTCCCGCCGCCGACGTCTTCGTCGCTCACGGCCGCGCGCTCGGCGACCCGGAGAAGGCCCAGGGAGACGCGGGGCCGGCCCTGGGCGGCCCCCTCGGCCACGAACCTGCGGGAAGTGACCTTGCCTTTGAACGCAAAGGCCAATTTTACGATTATTTGGAGACTGGATATAATGAAAAAAGCAATGGCAGCGAGTCTTGGAGAAAGTCCTTAAGGAGGAAGGAGCCCTCGCCGGGCAGCAAGCTGCGGTGTGGCAAGGGGAGCAAAGCGTGAGGCGTCGGGCGGGGCTCAGGCGCAGCGCACCCGCTCAGAGTTTATTTTGAATGGATTTTACAGTTTTGTACAACTGATGCACTTGGGCCGTGAACACGCCGTGTGGTTGAGATGCCTGGGGGCAGCGTGCGTAGACGCCGTGCGGGGCCCAGCGGCCGCTTATCAGCGTGGGAACTGGGCGCGAAGACCGTCGATGTGGCGCCTCAGAGTAGAGCTTGGTTTGGGCACAGAGAGAGCGCTGGGTGAGACGGCCCGTGCCCGTGACGCTCCCGTCCCCCCATGCTTCCGTCCCCCGGGGCGTCCCTGGCTGAGAAACGTCACCTGTTTGCTGATTAGTGCGGTAGCTATTGGGTGCGCGAATGGACATACCCAGCTCCGGGCCCACGCAGGAGTATTCTGAGCTGTAGACTAAGGCAGGGGCTGGTGCCGGCTGGTGGGCCACCAGGTCTTGGCGCTGAGTGCTCTGGGTGGCAGAGGCGGGTCGGGGCCTGAACCCAGCTGGGCTGGCCTGCCTGCGGTGGGCCACGAGGCCTCGGGAGGTGGATACAGGGCGACTTTTGGTGCCTTACTTATTCTTAATTTTTGCCAATGTGAAAATTAAGGCTAAATCAGAGTTACAGCAGGGATTTAACAAACAGGAAAACCAACCACAGGGTGGATCGCGATGTTTGGAGACGTAACCTTCGAACTGTCGCATTCAACTTTTGATTGGACATCTCTACTCCTCCTTTATTTTTGAAGCCCCAGGGCTTCTGGGTTGGGCGTTTTTGGAAAGGGGTGGCGAGGCAGAGAGCACGGCTAGAAAGCGGTGCTGGCCGCGGCTTCTCTGCGGCCCATTCTTGCTGGGTTGGGCGTTTGGGGCTTTCGGGTTGTTTTGTCCCGTGAGGTTCATCAACAGTGGCATGCGTCATACTTTGATCTGTTTTGCATCATTTCACTCTTTTAGATTATAAAAGCATGTGATTTTTTATATCTGACTTTTGCTGTTGATTAAGAAGCACAATGTTAATAAATGATGTGGTGACCAATATGGTTTTATCTTCAAGAATGTCAAGACTTTAGTTTGAGGAACGTTATTTTGGAGAAATGGGAAGTAAGCTGCAGTAGTTATGTATTCGGTCAACATTTTTCTTAGTCCTTTTTTTCATTCGTACATTTGCAAAGAGTGTTCCAAGGCCTTCTGCCTCCTCCCCTCCTGCACCCCCCAGTTCTGCTCAGCTGTACCCCAGTTCCTAGGCTCCGTATTGACTCAGCCCCTTTGAACCACACTTCCCAGAAACCAAATGCCAAATGGAGGAAATCAGCAAGTCCCCCCATTTTCTCCAAGATGAAGCTTTTTTTAATTTCTACTATTAATATTAAGCAGAGATCTCACTCATACAGTGTATGAGTAGGGTCTTCACCCGGACAATGTCCGCAAGGACCAATTTTTAAAACATGTTCTTGTGTTATGGCTAAATAGTCTAGTAATGTTCCACTTTTATTTTTCAATATTTGATAAACATTTGATGTTGAAACCTTAGGTGATAGATGCTTGTATATGAATGTGTCGTAATAAAGTGAGGTTTTCTTGATCTATATTTATTAAAATGCTGAAAATTCATTCAGGTTTTCTTATTTGAATGATCTCTTTTCTGTTGCTCTTTCTCCTTTCAAAAACTCAAAATGTCTAAAAACTGTTCTGGTCAGTACCTCGGGAGCAGGAGTCCTGGCCCAGGCTGAGGCTCCAGGAGCGGGAGGCAGGGCCGGGGGCCAGGATGTGTTTGGTGGTCACAGGTCTACTTTAAAGAGGCTAAAGTTTTTAGTTTCTGCAAAAAATAGCATAACATGAGGCCCTCAGAGCTGGATCCAGCTTCCTTTCTGAAAGGTCAAGTTGTGTGGGGACAGTGGCGACCCACTGCTGATGGCATTCCACACAGTTCTGCAATATTATTCTTAGAGGCTAATTTTTTTTTTTTTTATAAAAGGGGAAAACTGCTTGGAAGCTAATTAATTTGTCAAACGTAGCATTCTCATTATGAATGTAATACATCCTAGAGATTTAAATATGAAAGAAAGGATTTATCCTTTGCTTTTAAAAGCCCAGCATTAACAGCTCTGTGTGTGTGTGTGTGTGTGTGTGTGTGTGTGTGTGTGTGTTGGGGGGGAGCTGAAGTCACAGGCAATGGAGTCCGTGCTTCTCCAAGGCACTGATCTGAGCTGCCTGTGTCTGCTTCCTAGAACCTTCTTGAGCACCTTTGCCCTGGATGAGCCGTGTCTTTGACTCCAGCAGCATTACACCTGTAACTTTTTAGGGCATTGCCAGCAAAGTAAAAGAAATACTGTCCCCTCATCCCAGCCAAATCCCTAAACGCCCTCAAAGCTGCCCCTCCTGTTGGCTGGACAGCGTCGGTGCCACCTCGTGCCCAGCCAGCCCACCCACCTGTCGTCTGCCAGGTTGGATCCCTCAAACGGCCCAGGGCCTCCCCAGGAACTGAACTGCAGCCCCTGAGACCAGAGAAATGGGTGCTCCCCACCCAACGCTGCCTGCCACCAGAAGTGGGGCCCTCCTTGTTGCTGTGCTCTGCTCTCCCGAAAACCTGGTGTGGCAGAGCTGTGGCTTTGAGGGGCAAATTTCACTTAAGAAAATGACTCCACTCCCTAGGAGTGCTGCGGTACCTCCCTGGACTTCCCGGCCACAAACCAAATTGTCACCCCACGTCTGGTCCTTCCCTTTAAAAGTGGGGCATGGAGAAAACGGGCTGGCAGAGGGGTCACCATCACTACTTGTGTCCACTCCTGAACTCCCCTACTTTGCAGGGGTGCAAGAGATGATTGAAGGGGCTCCGGGAAAGGGCGGGGGGAAGGTAAAGACTAAAGGTGGGTGGAAGTGACTAGTCAGCAGCCAGTTGCTAGCTGATGTAAAGCTTCTTTGGTATGATCTTTTAATCCAACAGACGTCCAGAATATCTGCCAGGCTCCTTTAACAACTGCTGAAGAGAGTGAGCAAGCTTATTTGTTTTTAGAATAAAAAAGTTAACCAGCTATTCCCAGCCTGGGTAACCCCAGCCTTGGGTAGCCCCAGCCTAGTTAACCCCAGCCCGGGTCGCCCTGCCTGGCATGACCAGCCTTCAGCCCAGAGCTTGCCCTGCAGCCTCTGGCGATTACCCTCTGGGATCCAGAGCAAACCGAGACCAACTCACAGAGGAAGCATGAGCATGCAATGAGTATGAGGCAAGGCTGTTGGGGTTTGGGCTTGAGGCAAGGAGGCTCTTTGTAGCCTGCAAACCAATGCTGAGCAGGAAGCGTTCTTGAAGGCCATTTTTGTGGGCACCCCCAGGTGAGACCATGGTGGCTGCGGTGATCAAGCCCCACACACTGTAGAAACAGGACTCTCGGCACCATAGCGGCCCGCGAGGGCGTCAGCCCAGGAGAGCAGCGCCGGCGTGTCAGTGCCAGAGAAGGCCCCATCAGCATCCAGCAGTTGGTCTTGAGACTGCCTGATTTGATTCCAGGGTTTGAAATACATGCCTGAAGCATCTTTGGGGTGACTGCACGTTGTCTTGGCGTGTCTCCCCAGGGTGCTCCCTCCGCCTGGCTTTGTCTCTATCTTTGGAGCTCCACTACAGGAGGGAGCAGGGCCAGACTGCCTCCAGCCGGGCAGTGGGGGCGCCGGGCAGCTCCTCAGGACACACGCTCATGAAGACAAAGTCGTGAACTGGGAATCTTGTATCCTGCCATAAAGTGCACACACAAGTGAGTTTAATAAAACATGCTATTGGAACACAGTCTGCAATTTCCTTTTTCCTTGTTTGCCTCAGTGTCTGTGACAGACTGGGGGGCTGAGGAGCCAGGGGGAATTACACGGAGACTGCTGGTGTTTGCAAACCTCGCCCGAGCTGGGGCTCCCTCTGAAAACAGTTCTGGGGGGCTGTCTCGGGTGCTTCTCCTTCCTGGGTGTGGCCCAATTTGGTCATTTTGATCATACAAAGTGCTTATTTGTGGCCTGGGAGCAACTGTTTTTGACCACAGTGAACCTGTCAGAACCGATGTGTCCCCATAGTCCTGTGGAATTTCCCGCAGTTCCCAACTGCTCTGTTATAACAGTGCCCATGATTTAAAATGATAAAATCCTATAAAATGCCATGTGGGGGTGAGGGAGGTGGTGAACACATGTAAGAGACCTGCAGAGGTTAGGTGTGATATTGCTTCCACCTTGGCCCAAGACCGTGGTCAAACCACGGAACTGGGGGCACAATCCCCCTGAGGCCTGTGCCCCCCTGAGGCTTTGCTTCCGGCTGGCAGTGGCCCTCCAGGCAGTCATCCTGTCCCCAGGGTACCCTGGGTCTCCGCACCCCAGAGGGTCAGCCTGCACCAGGTCAGCCGAGCACGGCAGGCGCCTCCTGAGGCTGCAGGGAACTCACCGCCACAGCCACACTCCCAGGACCTGGCCGTCGAGGGGCTGAGACATGCCAACACCCCACCAGGACACGTGCTCCTTCCCCAAACACACAAAACTCCCTGTGCACAGGGGAAAGGCGGGGGATGGCAGGGTAGAGGTCCGGCGTCCAGCAGCGATTGGGGCACTGACCTCCGTTGGATGAGGGGCAGGAGCCTAGAAGTTACCGCAGGAAGCCTTCACCTACTTTACCAATAAGCCTGAAGGTGAAGAAGAGAAGAAGCAGGAAAGTTAGTGCTGGGACTCAAGGGTTTGCTTTACGTTTTGCAGGAAGAGAGAGGTGGCTGCCTGTCCCTCTGGGAGGTGGGGGAGCTTACTCTCCCCCCAAGTCCTTACTCTCCCCCCAAGGTTGTGCTTTTCTGTGAATGCACCACACTGTCTCTGTAACCAGCACCAGGCCTGAGCCTGGGTCCTGGGCTCCTGTTCAGTTCAGACCCAGTGGCTGGGAGGGAGGGGGTGTGGGGTGGTGGTGGTGGGGTCTCTCCTGAGATGGGAACGGAACCCAGGGTACGAGGGTGGGATTTAGGGTCTCGTGGCTTGGAGGCAAACCCCAGCCACTCTGCCCTGCCCAGCCAGCCCCTTTGCTTTCTACTGCTTGTTTCTTGCCTGTGGCCTGGGGTGCTTGCTGTGCCCCCTTGTGGGGTGCCCAGGGCTGGGCCTGAGCATTGGCAGTGACCTGACGGCTCCCTGTGGGCATGAGTCCAGCCCTCTCCCTTGGTGGCCAGGATGCCCAAGATGGTACTGGCTGTGCCACAGCCTCCTTTGGGGAATATTCAGTGTTCTGGCTTGAAATTAAATAGTGAGGTTCACCCCACCTGGAGACCAGGGTCCTCAGAGGCCGTGGAGGTGTACTAATGTCCCTGAGGCACCTTTAGTATTTCAAACAGTGCACACTGGGGAGTTTAGTGTTTCCTGGGAGAAGCTGCACAGGCTAACCCAGGCTGGAGCTTGTCACCTGGGGCTGCAGGTAAATCAGCTGCCACCTAGGCAAGGAAGGGAGGGTTGCCATCGCTCAGAGGCAGGTGCACGGCAGGCGCCCCATAAATGCTATTACAGTGGTTCTTTCTGGTGCTATTGTACTTCTTATTGGAGGTTTACTTAAAAAACAAAAATAAATAATAAATTGTGGTATATGAGTAAAATTCTTTTTTTTTTAAGATTTATTTATTTATGCATATAAGAACGGGGTTACAGGCCAGAGGTGTGGTGGTGGTGAGAGGATTCACCAGAGACAGAGTGGGGAACAGAATAGGCAGATTGACTGAAATACACTGCTGAGGGGAGCAGTGGGCAAGCCAGGAGAGGTCTGCCATGCCATGTAGGTTGCTCCCTGGCCGGGGATAGAACTCATGCTGCAGTGGCTGCGGTTAGCTTCACAGGTTGTGTCTTAACCCCTTGCGCCACCAGGGAGGCCCCTATGAGTAAAATTCTTAATGCAAAATTGTTGATGGCATAAAACAAAGGCAAAATAGATAAATCAGCTCCAAGATAACACAGTGCCAACCGAGAAGAACTGCTGAAGAAATGCAGGCATTACCTTAATAAATGCCATGGATCTGGGCACACACTTCAGACGGTGGAGTGTGGAGGGCAAGAGAGGGGTCTGCTCACTTCCGACGCATCCCTGGGCTGGCCCATGTCAGTTACTCAAGGATCCTCTAAGACCCACTTTTACTGTGAGAAAATACAGCATCGAGGAAATAGTTTGGAGATGGAGCTGACATTGCTTCTACAGGGCCTGTCTCTGATCCCAGAGGTCAGTGTTTTCCAAATCATCACGGCTTTCAGTGGACCTTGGGAACCAGGCCTGGCAGAGGAGGAGGGTGGGGCTTGCACTTATCAGATCTAAGCTGGGAAGCAGGTCTCCCCATGGTGGCTAATCCCACCTCAAAAGCCCATCCTTCCTACATGGCCCCTCATCTCATAGTTCAACTGAGGGTCAAAATGGGGGTCCGGTGACAGTCCGCATGCAGGCATCCCCTACATGAAGCTTCTGACCAGGGGTTGCCATGAGCACAAAGCCCAGCCCTGCGGTTCAAGCAGTGCATGGGTTGCCGAGATGGGCGGGACCCCACTGCTGGGCCCTGCTCCCAGCCCAAGGGTGTCCGGGGGGTCTGGAGATGGCCCCAACCTCTGCAGCTGAGCTG